GGCTATGGGTGCCTGGGTGGCTCAGTTGGTTAAGCATCTGACTTCGGCTCAGCTCGTGATCTCGCAGTTTGTGAATTCAAGCCCCACGTCAAGCTCTGTGCTGACAGCTCAGAGCCTGGAGCCTACTTCTGATTCTGTGGCTCCCTACCTCTCTGCTTCTCCCCTGTCCGTGCTCTGTCTCTCTCTCAAAAATAAACAAACATTAAAAAAAAATTAAATATTATCCTGGCTATAATTTCAAGATTTCTTTTTTTTTTTTTTTTTAATTTTTTTTTTTTAACATTTATTTTTGAGACAGAGAGAGACAGAGCATGAACGGGGGAGGGTCAGAGAGAGGGAGACACAGAATCTGAAACAGGCTCCAGGCTCTGAGCTGTCAGCACAGAGCCCAACGCGGGGCTCGAACTCACGGACCACGAGATCATGACCTGAGCCGAAGTCGGCTGCTTAACCGACTGAGCCACCCAGGCGCCCCGCAAGATTTCTTATCTATGGATATTGATACTTTGGTGTACCCTTGAATTTTCTCTTAATAGGTTTCAAAATTTTAAAAATTAGGTTAATTTCTTTTTTGTTGCTGTTGTTTATTTGAGAGTGAGAGAGAAAGAGAGAGCACAGCAGGGAAGGGCAAAGAGAGGGAGAGAGAGAATCCCAAGCAGGCTCCTCGCCATCCGTGTGGAGCCTGATGTGGGGCTTGAACCCATGAACCATGAGATCATGACCTGAGCCAAAACCAAGAGTTGGATGCTTAACCAACTGAACCACCCAGGCACCCCCCACCTTTTTTTAAGTTTAGAAATGAGGTTAATTTCTTAAGTTTACATTTATGAACAGAGTATCATCTGCGTTCAATCTTTGTAGGTCTCACTAATCTATATAAGGCAGTACTTGGATTACTATGAAGATATAAAAGAGTGATCTCAAATTATCTCTGCCACATATCAGTGTTTCATGATACTGCTTCAGCATAATTTTAAAATGAAGAAATACCAGATAGGTTTTTTTTAATTAAAAAAAATTTTTTTTTAATGTTTATTTTTGACAGAGAGAGAGACAGATCATGATTTGGGTAGGGGCAGAGAGAGAAGGAGACACAGAATCGAAAGCAGGCTCCAGGCTCTAAGCTGTCAGCACAGAGCCCAACACGGGACTCGAACTCATGGACCGCGAGATCATGACCTGAGCAGAAGTTGGATGCTCAACCAACTGAGCCACCCAGGCACCCCTAATTTTTTTTTTAACATTTATTTATTTTTTGAGAGACAGAGACAGAGCGTGGGCAGGGGAGGGGCAGAGAGAGAGGGAGATACAGAATCCAAAGCAGGCTCCAGGCTCTGAGCTGTCAGCACAGAGCCCAATGCAAGGCTCAAACTCACAAACCATGAGATTATGACCTGAGTCAAAGTTGGACGGTTAACTGACTGAGCCACCCAGGTGCCCTATACAAGATAGTTTTTAAAGTGATCGACCCTTTTGCCTTTTTAACTTGTGGGACAACCTATGAGATGCCAACTGTAAGAGTTGTTGAAATCCATCTGGAGTAACCACTTCTATTTAGAGTAGTTGGTAAGGTTTAGGGCGTAGACATTCCTTACTCATATAGGTTGACCCGCTGTAGGAGCAAAGGAGCAGACAATATTTAGAGCAGTGTTTCTCAGCTTGTGATTCTGGTAAGAAATACGTGTTACATTATGGTCCGGGCTGCGTGTGTTCACATATGTACACAAATATACAAAATAATTCATGAATACTTTACTGTGTACAGTGCACTCTTGTTTTCTGTTTCACCTTTTTAAATGCCAAAAACCCTTCTAGTTGTTATCCATAAATTTGGTGTCAAAACCCAATAGTAGGCCATGTCTGCAGTTTAATAATCTGTATTTAGGATATGCCCCTTATTTTTACCTTTATGTTTCTCTTTACCCTGCACAACTCTACACATATTCAGTATTATATAGTTTTCTGTGGAGATGGGTTGATAAACACCCATTTAAATTATGATTCAATTGCAATCAAAAGACGAAAATTCTTGGGACACATATAGATGTGTGACATCTGGAAGGAAAAGATATTTTCCAAACTTTTTTCAGTAGTTCTGAGGATGGGAGTCAGGATTACCAGAGGATCTCTTTTTTGTTTGATTTGGCTTTTCCCTGCTTTCTAAACAATGAGTAATTGCATACTCAGCAATTTTTGTTATTTTTTAAAAAACTTTTTAAAAAACATTTGTTTATTTTTGAGAGAGAGTAAGAAGCAGGAGAGGAGCAGAGAGAGAGAGGGATACAGAGGATCTGAAGTGGGCTCTGCCCTGCAGCCAAGAGCCAAATGTGGGGCTTGAACTCACAAAACTGTGAGATCATGACCTGAGCTGAAGTCAGATGCTTAACCTACTGAACTACCCAGGCACCCCATACTCAGCAATATTTTAAAAGGTAGTTCTAATTTGGTGGGAAAATAACTCATAAACCAAAAAAGAAGTCATTTTGGCCTGAAAAAAAATGCCACATTATTAGAATGTAGAAAGTAAATAGGAAGGAGTCCCTCACAGGTTTATTCCATGCTTCTTTGCAGGGAAGAAGTTTCAGGGAAATAATCAAAGAAACAATTGTAAATTGAGGGACAAAAAATAAGCTTTAGTTACTACTCTTTCCCTATTTGGCATGTAATATCTGAACCTCAATTAATCTGCAAAGTGAATGAGTTTGGCTAGATTATTTAAGTTTATTTTCAACTTTAAGGCTTTCTGATTTTCAGTTAAATCAGGAATTAGATTTTTATGTACCTGCTAAGCATAAGACATGTATATCTCAACATCTAGAGTATTCCAGACAGAGGGGTATGAGTGAAGATCAATGAAGACCTACATGAGGAAGCTGCTAGAACCTACTTGGGAGTATTTGAAGTTTGAGTGCTTTCTGGCCACTTAATCCTCAGGTTTTCTTGAAGTGTTGAGTGCTTATACATTCAATGCAAGTTGTCCAGGAAGAAAAAAAGGGAAGGAAGGAAGTTCTAGCAGTTTAAGTATTTAGTTGGAAGGAGTTGCCTCCTTGGTTACTATAAACTATGCTTTCTTTCAAATTACTTTGCTATATACAAGGTAAGTCTTACCAATATTGGAAGGGAAAAATAAAAAAGAATGTGAAATGGATTATGTTAAACCTCTGAGAATTATGTATTATTACAGGCTGATAATTCTGTGTTTGAGAAGCTTATTAAAGCATTGATACTTGGGATGGTAGGTTACTTAAGTATATAATATAATAAATAATTCTGAAGAGACAGTAGTGACTAAAAACAAGTTAAGTGTAGATATATGTTCTTAGAAATTATATATCTGTCTAGCTAACAAAAATGCACTCATGGAACAAGTTATGAATTCTTTAGGTAGTTGCAGAAGAAATGATTTTATGGGGATAGTTTGAGAAATAAATGTGAGTGAATGAATAAATGTTTTACTTTCTTGGTTTAAGAGAGGTAGGCTGTATATTTAATGGAATATTATTCAGCCAAAAAATAGAATGAAATCTTGCCATTTGTGATAATTTGGATGAACCTTGAGGGCATTATGCTATGTGTAATATATAAGTCAGAGAAAAACACCTGTCATGTAATCTCACTTATATGTAGAATCTAAAAAAACAAACAAACAAACAAACAAGATCCTGGATCAGATCTTGGAACAGATCATGTAACAGATGGGTAGTTGCTAGAGGCAGGGGTGGGGGTGGAAGGTGGACAGAATGGGTGAAGAGGGTTAAAAGGTACAAACTTCCACTTATAAAATAAATAATTCCTATGGGTGTAATGTACAGAATGGTAACTATAGTTAATAATACCGTATTATTTATTTGAAAGTCGCCAAGAGAGTAGGTCTTAAAAGTTTTCATCTTAAGAAAGAAAATTCTGTAACTGTATATGGTGTTGGATGTTAACTACATTTACTATGGTAATCATTTCATAATGTATACAAATATGGAATCATTTTATGTTGTGCACCTGAAACTAATATAATGTTATATGCCAATTATATCTACATTTAAAAAAAGTGGAAAAAGAGGCTTTTGAGTTGAGAATGTAGTAGATATATGTCTGTCCTACACAACATTTCTGTGTAAATGAGAAAGATAAAGTTTAGAATGTGTAACTGACTTCGGCTTCTGAGAACTGGAAGAACATTACATTTAAAATGTAGCTGATAGTGTAGAGTCAGGAGAAAATATATCAGGTAGTATTTCATCAGGCTTTTCTTGGTACAGAGGTGTCTCACATGTCGGCACTGTGAAGGAGGGGAATAACAGTGTGCTCATGAAGATTCTGAGGCCTGTCCAGCATCTGCTAATAGAGTGCATTAACAGTAGCTAGCAAATGATAGGAAATGCAATTCTTTTTCAAAAAGGTGTAATTTTGGGGCGCCTGGGTGGCTCAGTTAAGCATGCGACTTTGGCTCAGGTCATGATCTCGCAGTCCGTGAGTTCAAACCCCATGTGGGACTCTGTGCTGACAGCTCTGAGCCTGGAGCCTGCTTTGAATTCTGTGTCTCCGTGCCTCTCTCTCTCTCTCTCTCTCTCTCTCTCTCTCGCTCTCTTGCTCTCGCTCTCGCTCTCTTGCTCTCGCTCTCTCTCGCTCTCCCTCTCTCTCTCTCTCTCTCTCTCTCTGCCCCGCTCGCGCTTTGTGTGTGTCTCTCTCTCTCAAAAATGAACATTAAAAAAATTGTTTTTAAAGTGTAATTTCATACAAAGGATTTGAACGATTAAGAATAATTACATTAAGATTGAAAGTGTATATTTACTATTTGGGATCCTAATATGTAAGGTTTGTCATTTCAGGCTCAGTGATCATGCTTACTTTTTTTATGCAATAAGAAATTCTCTGGGCTTCATTACTCTATGCTTCATATACTTCATTACACAATATCAAAAATATGCATGATTAATTGGGGCTTAAAAGGCTTGTTCAACTTATTTAAGAAAAATTTGTAAATCTGATTATTTGTTTTAAAGCTGCAGAAGAAAGAAGATCAGCAGTTGGAGCCTAAAAAAAGTACCAGCCCTAAAAAAACTGCAGAGCCCACTGTTGATCTTTTAGGACTTGGTAAGTAGTAAAAGATACAAACCACCTTAAGAGTTACAAAATAATTGAGGTCTTTACTTGAAATGAATATAATAGCTTTATCATTAGTGTGCCAAAATATACCTGTTAACTGAATTTGAAAATGGTATGATCAGTGTATTCAGTTCCCACAAAAAGGGAAGTCTTTAATAAGAGAGCTAGTATCTGTCAGCACTGTCTCGGCTGAAATACAAGTAATGAGTTCCTTGGGGAAGGAAGAGATATCAAAGAAATCTTCAAAGGCTTAGTACACTGACATTTCAACATTTAAAATAAAGAGTAAGGATTCTTTTTCTCCTCTTTCCCTCTCACCCCCACTTCTCTTTATTTAGTTTTGTTGGGGGATTCCCTTAGCATAATGATTATGGGGTAGCCTTATTATAATATATGCAGGTTTAAAATAAAATTTAATTTTGGTTAACTGAAGTGATGCTCTTTATACCTAGATCTAGTGGGTACATTCATTTCATATATTTGATGACAATAAGAAGTGCTCATTTTAATTGAATGTCGTATTTATTCTTATGACTGACAGATACATGTTGTCTGCCTGGTAAGTAAGCAGGCTTCCCTTCAAGGAATGCTAACATTGTACTTATCTACAAATACTGTCAGCTCTTTTGATATCTTTCTTCTCTTCCTACAAAAATAGCTTTAAATAAATGGTTATTTTTAGTAATATCTGAGCCTTCAGCAGTAATTAATGTAAAAGATTTTTTTTTTAGTTTGGAGAAAGATTAACAACAAAAAAAGAAGGATACTTAGTTGAACTTCATTCACTACTTTTCTAAAACTTGAGCTTTGTTCTTAGTAAATTGTTTTCTCTTTTAAAAATTACAATTGAATGTTTTATTCATTTCTTAGGAAACTGGTATAGTGTGCAAATAAATATATCCCAATAGGTAAAAATTTTCTGTGATGGTGAAAGTAAGTAGTATGTATAACTGTAATTTTGAAAATAGGGCTTCAGTCCAGGGGCTCTGAAATAATTATGTTGAATTCTAGTCTGTATAATTTATGTATTTTATTTTCTTTTCTGTAAATGAGAGAAAAGAAAAAAAGACTTAATTCCAAGGTAAGGAAATATCTGACTAAAACTATATGCATCTTTGTCTTCATTGTAGAATTTCCTTTCCAGTCTAAGTGCCTGGTTTATAACTTAGAAATGTAAAATATAAGGGGCGCCTGGGTGGCTCAGTCGGTTAAGCGTCCGACTTCAGCCAGGTCACGATCTCACGGTCCGGGAGTTCGAGCCCCGCATCAGGCTCTGGGCTGATGGCTCAGAGCCTGGAGCCTGTTTCCGACTCTGTGTGTCCCTCTCTCTCTGCCCCTCCCCCGTTCATGCTCTGTCTCTCTCTGTCCCAAAAATAAATAAAACGTTGAAAAAAAAAATTTAAAAAAAAAAAAAAAAGAAATGTAAAATATAAGCTAGACCCGACCCTTATCCTACAGATTCATTCATTGATTGACCAAATATTTATTAAGTGTCTCCTGTGTTTCCAGGCACCATTGTAGGCACTAGGGAGGTAGCTATGAAAGAAAACTGATAAAAGTACTAGACCTTTTGGAGCATTCATTCTGTTTGGGGAAACAGGGAATAACAGTTAAGTAAAGTATATTATGGGTCTTCTGTGGTAAGTTGTATAGATAAAGCAACAGTGAGCAGTTGTAATTCTAAATAGGGTGGCCAGGGCATGGAGGGTGCTGAGTCTTACTGGAGCAAAGACCTGAAGGAGTTGTGGATGTCTGGATGTGTGGGGCAGGAACATTCCAGCAGGAGAGAAGATCATGTGCAGAGGCTCTGCAGTAGTGGCTTACTTATCATGTGCAGGGACCAGCAAGGGTGACTGTATAGCCAGAGTGGAATAGTGACAGGGGAGAGGAATGTGTGGAGTAGGTTGTAACAAGACTGTGGCTTTTACTCCCAGTGTCCTGGAAATATATTGGAGACATTTCAGCAAAAATGTACATACATTGACCTAAGATTTTAAGAATTATTGTAACTACCATGTTAAGAATAAATTAAAAAAAAAAAAAAAAA